GCTTGCTTGTCCTTACTATTGCATTTAGTACGCTTATGCTTTCAATTGTTTAAACACGTATTTATCAAGTTTCCACAACAAGAGAATGTTGATTTCAATGAGAGAATAAAAATGATTTTTATTATCCAGGGCTTACATATGAAATGAATAAGAAGCACTCTTGATAATTCATTTATCGTGGATCTTTTAATTATAATAATCATATAATAAATCTTATTATCACTGAAAATTTAAAAAAACATGACTTGCATTTTCTTGGTTCTGAGTGCTTCAAATATAATATTTTTAATTTGAAATATCTTTGAGAAATTAAAAATTATAATACGATGCTGTTTTAGCTCTGTTCTAATTTAAAGATAGATTGCAGTTATAGTTACTGACAAATATCCGTGCACACATTTCCATGAATGAGTTCTAAAACAGAAGCACGTATACTACGTGGATTTCGTGTGAATCAAGCATGCACACGTAGACGATGGCTGCGCCTTAGTTTATCTAGTTTAGTCTAGCAAGACCAGAGTCTATAGACGACCAAACACTAATTAATTCTGTGCAAATATGTCGCGGCTCAGGGACCAAGAGAGATCGTTGGCTCCGATGGCTGCGCAAGAACGTTCCCTCCAAGAGCGGAGGGTTCAAGGAGTTCCTAGCGTTTCATTTCGGACCTGCTTTCAAGTATTTGCCAGGCAAAAACATTGACCGAAAGTAATTGGCCCAAATTTTCCCGAGTACACGACTTCCGGTCCCCTGGCTTCAACTTATTTCGGTGGATTCCTTACCTTTCGTTTCTTGATCTTGTTGCTTTTAATTCGTCTGCTAAGAGATGAAAGCTGTTCCGTTCATTTAAATTATTTCCTACAATTTTTATTTATATTAAATAATTTTAGATTTTTAAAAATTTTCTTTTAATATTAATAAAGAACTGAAATGAAATCATGTCAGAATTTCTATATTTTTGGTTCAACAAAGAACCAACGGTTTGTATTAAAAAATGAAAACAAAAAAGGGGGGGGTATATGTTCGGCGACGAAAAGAAAAGCTTGGCGCGTGAAAAGCTTGAAGAGCAAAGAGTAGGAGCGACAGAGGGAAACAGCAGGAACGTTTATCTCACAGGTGCACAGTGACGAGACGAAGCGAGGGGCAGCGGAGCGAGGCGGAGTCGAGGCTGCCAGACATAGTGGCGGCGTTGTAAACGAGCAAAGTTTCGAACCCAATATGCTGTCTCCGTGCTCTGTGGAGCCCATATTCAACCTGTCAAGGTGCGGTGCACGTGCGTCCGCGAGTTGCTTCCCGGCGTGCCAGACGGGCAAACCGGGACAAACTTTCGAACTGGCACAGACCGTCTGGCACCCTACCACCACTGTCGGCGAACCCGCGAATTCTCGATATGTTATTGTAGCACGGCACCGTTTTATCTGGACGCCGACGACTGGCGTCGAACTGCTACGTCTGCGGTGTCCGCTGCCTCTTTCGACCAAGGAATTTCCTTCCTCTCTCGAGTCAGGATGAAAATTCAAAGGTTGCTTCGATTCTCTACCAATATTTCTAACATTTCTAATAATTTGTGAAATTTATAACTTTTGTAATTTCATATTTTTTATTATATTTTTATTATTATATTAGATTTAAAAATAATTTGATCTTCTTCATAGACACAAATATTTGTGTAAAGATACACAGTTCAGTGATCAGATTGGTTTCGTTTGGCCGTGCCCATTCATTCGACCAGCAGTTTGGCCCATTTGCCTATTTTCCACCCTTTTAGTTCCTGCCTTGGCACAGTGCATCGGTTTTCGCGTTTCCTCGCCACCGCACCGGTTCACCAGTTTATTGTTCGTTTTATGGCCACTTTCGCAACTGAGCGCGCGATGCTTTTGCACCCTCGACATTGAAGCTATGAATAGGACCGTCTCGCGATTGTTTTGTCCCTTGTGAGCAGGCTCGTTAACAAGTTGCTTTGTCGCGAAACTTGGTGAAAATTTTTCCTCAAATGGACGATCGCGATCTCCTTTGATCAAGATTTGTCGCTATCAAAGTTTAAGCTTTTTATATGGGGCTTTTTACTTATATCGTCATTCTCCTTAGGGTTTCCTTACGGGGAAAGTTGGGAATCCGAGATATTATTTTTCCTGTCCAATCTTGCTTGTTGAAGATTTCATTCTATTTTAATAGATTTCAATATACGGTGAATGCATAGTCGTCCACAGTCTGTTCATAAAGTAAAAAGTTTTCTCATCCAACAACTGTGGATAACTGGGTCGCGAGATTCGAACGATGATCAATCAAACTGGACGGAAATAATTCAATGATCGACCGTCTATGCATTATATGTATTGCAAGGCTGGCTCGGTTTAGCCATCGATTCATATCTGTCTGGCTTATGCATAAGAAAACGCGCACACGCTCGATCATTCCATAGACACTTTTAATCCGTTTTTAATAAGTAATCCGGCCGCCGTTGTCTCGACCATCTGTCCCATAACCTTATGATAGCAGTTGTGATAAGTTTAGACTGGAACGGTCGATGTACCGTCTCTTGATTAAAAGATTGAATCGAGAGAATTAACTTTGATGGGCGTTCAATACGTTCCCTTGTAAATTTTCAAACAACTGCATCTCCTTTTAAATATTATCTGAATTACAGACAGCTCGAGGCTGTTCATTTTTTAATGTCACTGACAATTTAGGACTACGTAACAGTAATGTTTTATGAAATTATTTCATAATTAAACTCTACTTTAATAAAAAATAAAATATAAGCTAGTGGAAAGGTAGGACGGAAACTGGTGAAATGAGATTTCATGTAATAAAAGGCACGCGACACAGTGTTAAATCAATGTTAGGTAAGCATTAAAAATTCTCAAACGAGATTCAACGATGAGCCAACAGAGAAATTAATTCTGTCAGCGATAACGCCCCGTCGAGAAGATTAATTATCTTCGTGACATAAATCAGGTAAAATGTATTCGCAAAGTACGTTCGATGGGAAGTGCAAAAACGAGCTGTCTTCGACGAACAAAAAAGAATTATAATGACGGAACTTATTGCCTGGACATAAATAAGCATGTACTGTCGTGTAACTGTAAAAATTGAAATTCCAAATAGAAAGAATCTAAATTTAAATTTTAATTCTGAAACGTATGCGTTGCATTTATAAAAAAAATTGAAGTAGTTGAAATTGTGAACGAAATTTTAGGAAAAAATGTAAAACTAAGGGGTGGTACCACCACCTTTTTCTCTAGTATTTATAAGCATAATGAAACTTATTTCCTGGACACCTCTAGTCCAGACAGGACAGACGAATGTATGATCGCCATCATCGTGAAGCGAGAAAGCGAAACTCGAGTCGAGCCGTTTTGCTGCTGAACGTCCTGCGAGCTCGTCAATCGAGTAACGAGCGCTCATTTTACGCGACATGATAACGTGTCTGTCTCGATCATGATCCGTTCTCGTCTTTCTTTTATGACCCACCCTTTGATTCTTCTTTACGAATTTTTCCTACTCCTCGTCGAGTTATGCAAACAACACGATTTTCTTTTAATTGAAATTCACTGTGAGAGTGAATTCATATCCTTGAGATTACAGCCGATGTGAATCTTATGATTTTTCGATTCTAAAGTAGAGATACTTTAACAAATGCCGGAAAATAAAAATTTATACTTTCATCAAAGGATTGATCTTCTTATAGCTCGTTTTATTTGATTGTAAAGACATACGTGTTCAATACATTGAAACGTTGAATGAAAACTGAAGACAGTATTCTTGCATTGAGACATTCTTTAAAGAATCGATGCAACGACCCAATACTTAATCAAGATTCCCTGTTAATTATTATACATTTCATCGTGGCTTACCTTGCCGTTTCCTTAATGAGTTATCTCTGCTGCTTGGCGAATTCCACGTAGGCGAAAGTAAGAACACTCGACTCGTTTGAAGCCTGAAAACCATTCGCTGTGTCACATTTTGCAGCCACTTAAAACTTATAAAACGACGTTCTTTCAAGATAGAAGAAGCGAGCAAAGGAACGTTATAAAAGACATCTCGAGATTTCCTCGGCTGCTCGTTCCTCCGCAAACTCACGGAAATTTCTTACGATTTTATCATAGTGAACGTTCAATAATGTTCATTTAATGTGATATACCTCGAACACTCTATAAACTGTAAGAAATTTCTCTATTGTTTCAAGCCTTGTGCAAGTTTTGTTTTTTATTCTGCACTTTATTAAAATCATATTTTCTTATTTTGCCAGTATTTAATATCTTTAAATACATTTGTCAAAAGATAGATGCAGAGTCATAATTTTTAATTAATTATATTAAGTAATAGTACTATAAAAAAAATTTGCACTCGCCAAAACAAAAGCCTTATTTATTCTAGCTTTATTTATAAATTTTATTGCTTTTTTTCACGAGCCTCTGCGAGCTCGCGAAGAAATGCATTTCCTTGATATTTTTATCTCCAGCTAGATCGTACCTTGTTTTCGTGTTCCCGGCTGGTGCACGGAATCCTATCTTCGTGTTTCCTTTTTTTTCTTTTTTTTACCCTCTTTCCATTCTTTCCTTTTCGTCTCTTTTTCCTTTCAACCAAGTAAGTCAAGTGTCGACGACGGTAGATAGGGCCTCATTTACGAGCCAGACTTAGGGGGAGGCCACTTGGCCCAAATACGGGTCGGGAGAGGGTGTTCTGCCCGCTGGTTGAGACTCCAAACTTAAAGTAACCCTCCCTCGATAAAAGGGTGCCCACCCATTCGATCTTGACGAATATTTTTCATCTTCCTCTATCCTCTATCGCTAACACCAAACCTACTTTTCATGGATAAAAATTATTTTCAACAATCTAAAAAAGTAAATAAATAAAAATTGAAGAGACTAATCTATACTGTAATAGTTTATACGATTGTAGGGATCTTTTGCAATTGTAAAAACGAATTCTAATCACCATAAAAGGATCAAATACAGGTACCATGGTGAAAATGAAATCGTATTCATTTATGGTTGCAGATATCGTTGAAGAATAATCCAAGCAAAACCGGTCTCGGAGCAACCAGTGAATTTCCTACAATTGAACTAGATTCAACTACGGAAAAGAAGCAAGCATTATGGCGAAAGACTCAGCAACGTTACAAAGAAATAACCGACTAAGCGAAGTAATTACACCGTGAACATTTGTCATGGATAAAAAAAATTTATGTTCACTTTGAAAACGCACATATTTTTCATCATTCGTCATGGTAAGCGAAGGCAATTACGTTTTCTTGCCTGAATGTTCACGAAGAAAAGGAGAACATTGCTAAATGATATTATAGAATTTTATATAAAAGACAAATTCCACGAAATTTTGGAAAAATGGATAATTTATAGAATGACTGTTTCATATTAATTAAGTGCTTTGGCATTGAAATTTTAAAAAATTCAAAAAGTGGAATTCATCGCTTTTGCCTACGAATGATTCATTTTACAATTTTTATTATGGTATCAGTTGACGTTGTAAAATGATCAATTTTAACATCTTGAAATATGATTTTTAACGAGATAGTCGAAGATGACAAAAGGAATTTGAAAAATTATAAAGCAATGCCGTGTAACGGATCAAAAACATGGATTCCTTGCGATGGAAGCAAAGAGGGCAAGTCGAGTTCGTTTCATCCAAGACCACGGTTCATTTCTCTGGACACTCCGGCGCACCGGCGATATTTATAAAGTAAACTTCACGGTGCAAAGACCTCGGAGCCAAGTGTACAGAACGAGCCGTAAGTTTAGGCCAAGCCCTTAACTCCTTCGGCACATCGTGCGGTTTTCATAATAAACTACTTCCAGCGAAGCTTGATCTTCATTATTTTTACGACGACGGCTAGCCCCACCGTGTTTGTCACGATTTTCATCCCGTTGCGACTGGAACTTAAGCTTATACCAGTTACTTTGTCCCGTTTCCGTTGAAAATTCACTCGGATTTAACCCTTTCGCCATGAACAATGATATAGCGGACGTCACAAATTGTGCATCATATAAATTACAAATATTTCATAGTAAATACTGCCCTCCTTAGCTGAATTGTTCTAATTCGCATTTCAAACGTAAGCCACATTTCTTTTTCTTTATTAAATTTTAAAAATTTCACCATCATTTCATAATGCAATTTGTAGATTATCAATCGTATTCAATCGTACCATATTACAAGGTAAACGAGGGCGTTACCATTTCGTTAAATTAAACCCGGAAGTATTTTCACTCCCTAGACACGTAATTTGTAGACTCTTAACGTAAATTACGATATTCCCCTCCTGTGTCACTCCATCATCAAAACGTCCCTTTTACGTCATGCGAAGATAGGTTTCGTTCATTTTTAGGGAACGTATCATGGAATCAGTCAAACACGGAAGTATCCTGTTTCCCAAACACGCGATTAACACACCCTCTAATATTAATCTCTATATTATCCAGCTAGGTCTGTGTCATTTCTTTTAGAGAAACTTTTGTGACAGGGCTGGACAGAAATGAATGTCCTACATTTTTCTATAACATTAAGATTAATTGTTGTAATAAATACTAGGTAAATACTAACTCATTTATTCATTTAAAAATTGAAATAATCTTCAAATTTTTATATAACTTTATTTTTATTTAATAATATTATTTGTAGAAGAAATAGATCTGATAGTATGTTTGAAATAATTTCGAATTTCAGGAGAAACGAAGATACAAATTTCACTGATCCTTATTGCCCATACGATTAACGCATCCTGGCTTAAATCCAAGTGAGATATTCAAACAGCTCTTTGATTCTGAAGAATCGTTTTCGCTATTTTGTATAACGCTAATCGATCTTTCCACGATTGGACGAGGCGCCCTCGAGCTTTGATCAATCGTCGCGAAGTCGTTCTTAATTGCCCGTTCCTCGACCACGGACTCGTCGGTTGAAATTATAACGAATGCGTCGACGTTCAACGGCCGTTTTCACAAAGATGCTCGTAAACTGGCTTAACCGCGAACGCGAGTGTCGTAAAACACCGAGATGAGTGACAGGAAACATAACAGCGACGAGCAAAAGAACGAATTCCTCGCTTCGGGAGGGTAAGTTCGTTTAAAATATTAATAAATGTTTAAATATTCTGAAAGTAAGTTATTCATGAAAATGCTTAAAATCGTATAAATAGAAAGATAGATATTCCAGTGGATATGATTTTATCGATACAGAGGATCAGTTGGTCGGATTAGGGGGAGAATTTATAGAAGGCAATGAAAGTGTCGCGTACAAGAAAAAGGGGTCGTGTCTCATTCAGTTTTTCCGAGATTACACGAGAACTTATGACGGGGTATATTTTACCCAGCTGCGTGGATCGTTTTATTTCTGAGAAACTGTTAATTGCCACGCGCTTTTCTCCGCTCGACTTACACGTTTCCATAGATTTTCTTGCTCGTGAAACTTGCTCACGATCAAACCGAGCTACGCGATTCTGTTTAGAGATTAGACTAGCCAGGGAAGCGTTACAGTGGCAGCGTTGTTAGTGCTTCTGTGGTTGAATGTCTGAATAATTTCTAAAATATAGGACACGATCGTTTCGAGCATTATTGGACGTGGCGAAGAAGAATTCATCGATGGCCTGGATAGCTCAATTGGCTAGATCAGCCATTCGACGAACAGAGGTCCCGGTTCAAGTCGTGGATCAGCCAATTCAATTAACAGCCATTTTCATTCTGCTAATCATTTTTAATAATTAGACTTTGTTACATCTTTTCGTTTTATTTCTTCGACACTTTTCATTTGATCGCCAAAGTTTCATACCTTTTCAACTCGTATCGAAAGGTTTTTTATATCAATAATAGGGTGCCATTCAATATTTTCTTTCAAATCGCAACGAGAGAAATTTAATGTTATCAAATTTATTAAATGATTATATTTGCATAGTTCGTCTAACGAAGCGCAGTTGTTTCCAGTTCTTCAAACGCTTCGGTCGAGGTTTGTATGCTGCGAATCAGATTTGCTCCGAGCACGTGAATCTCTACACATTTACCGTCTCGGCTCGTTAGATGGACTATAGAAATATTTAATTAGGGTGCCATTTTATAAACTCATATTGATTCAGTTTTTATTTCTCCTTCCAATTCTGAATTTCATTCACAATGGAAGGTGGTTATAGTTAGGAGGTTTATTAAATTGAAGGCAGTAGCAATTTTTTCAATTTTAGACGTAGACAGAAAGAATTTATCGATGACCTGAATAGTTCAATTGCTTAGATAGTCGTTTGACGAAGAAAGGTCTAGGTTCAAGTGTTGGTTCAACAAATCCAATCAGTTGACTCTTCCTCTCTTTATTCCTTAATTAAAGATTAAACGTTATAAAAATTAAATTGCCACAGTAACACTTGCCTATTGCTAAACGGAATGGTTTAAGAAGTAATTAACATTCTCTTGTGCGATATATTTATTATCGTAATTATATAAATATCATACGATTTAAAATCTCAAACTAAGTAATACATATTTGTTTGAACAACTTTATTATTCCATTAAACTTTTTAAACGATTCCTTGAAGTCTGAATTGCGCGAATCGATTTCGTGTCGCGAGTTCATAATTCGTTACCTGTGCATCTTGAACTGTAATCATCAAGAGACATTGCAATTACCAGATCAAGTTTCTTTGAAATGGAAGCAACAGACTGTAATAATTAGGTACGCAAGTCATTTCGTGAAACGAAATTTCTAAGTAAGCCGAACAATTTGAGAAACTGGCTTCCATCATATTTCTCTCTGATTACACGTGCACTCGGTCCATATCTGGCTTTCTGATCACTCATGATTCGTATTCATAAGTGCGAACGTGAATGCGCTGTAATTTTATAACTGCCAAGATATTAAGTTATCGCATTTGAAACAATAAATTTCGAAGCATATCAATTTTAATATGATTTTATGACATAAAAGTATTACGAAATAATGTTGGATTCCAAGGAAATTGACAACACGTTAAGAATACTCTTAGAAACTTTATTGGATATGCACTCGACTAGTAGGTACTAAAATCTGGTTGTTTTATAATCTTGCAGACTTTTATATTCTATTGATGGAGATGGGTAGAGGTAGGGACAATGGTCAAGGAACAGTAAAGAAGGGTACGAAGTATAGGATGAGTAAGGATTAGGAATCGTGATTAGGATGTTTGGACGAGGATGAATCTATGGTGTCTGTGCTATGACTAGTGATGTTAATCATCCAATAATAACACTTGCGACACATCAATTTAAAGCTTACAATCTGATAAAAATAAATACACGAATACTTAACATACGTTCTTCGTATCTAAGCGTCCGTTCTTCAAGGATGTGTATACATGTTTCTCAAAGTAGAAGGGTTAATTTCTCAAAAGGATGTACGGAGAAACAATTTAGAAATGAAATTAGGGAGAATAGAAGGTAGAAACGAATTACTGCGTGATTTGTAGAAAGACAAAGTCCGGAATCATCCCCCTTACGTGTATGTCCCTGAATGGTTGTAGGGGCGCTTTCTTCTCGTTGTTGGCAAGAAGGACCTTGACTGATTTCACGAGTAGGCGCGCATCTGCACGTACCACGAAACCTTTCGAGGGGAGAATTTACGAGAGGGAGAAAGGGACAGGTTATGGCCACAAGAGGGAAGAAAAGAAAAGAGAGGGGAGAAAGTGATTGAGCGAGTGCTGTTGCCATGCAATTTGAGTACCTGCTATGAACGTGTACGCAGGTGACTTCACGGAGTCTCTTTACTCTCTCTCTCTCTCTCTATCTCTCTTCTTTCTTTCACTTCTGCTTCATTTTTTCTTTTTTATTTTTCCTTTTCCTTAGAAACCCCTTCATTGCTCCTCGTGCAAAGCTATGGTTACGCACTGCTCACTGGCAAACATTCGAACTTGAACGAGTTTTTGTGATCCACAGAAATTATGAAAAATATTTGTCGAACTATAGAGTTTCACAACTCTTTTAACCCTTAGAGAATCGGCATTTTTTCCACAAAAATAAAAATAAAATTTTTTCAGGAATCATCCAATATGTAGAAACCGATAATTAAATATAATTTGAATTAAAAAGCGACCTACTACCAAGGATCAAATAATAAGTGGATAATAATAATAGTGAAATACTACTCAATCAAGCGATGATCGAATAGACAAATGGTTAGACAGTGGTTGATCGAGGATAACGTCTCGTAGAAAGGGACCAAAGGGACGAAGAGCGGCGAGGACGAGTCTGCGGCAAAAAGTAAGATAAGAGTAAAAAGAGAAAAGAACGCGAACGGGAGAGACGGGATTCCTCGAAAGCTGCGATTTCTATTTGAACGAGAAATCGCGTCGAGACAGTCGTCCCCGTGAGTCACTCGTCCTCGACGAGATCCCCGAATCGTCTCAGGATCCTCTCGTGGTCCTGTTCCCGTGGCGTGGTTGCGTGGTTGCGTGGTACCATTTTTATAAGGCTCGTAAAATCCGCGAACGGCCGTCGAAACATAGTTCTACACCGTTCCACTCGACAGTTGCCCCGCGGGTAGACGCTATTAGCTTCAGGTACCCACCGGTATAAAATTGACTTTTTATCGCACAAGAGAGACGAAAAGAGAGCAAGAGAAACGAAAGGGGAAAGGAGGGTGAACGACGAAGAAAGATCGGAGACGAGGTCGAGGGATAGAGTGAAAGAGGAACCATCTGAAAATTAGTCACCGACGTTTTCGTTGATCCCTCCGACGTCCTGTTTGAGTATCCTTGTTTTTTCCTTTTGTTTTCACCGTCGTTCAGAGAAATGCTATTCGATGCTGTCGCGAACCATGGCTCCCTTTCACTCGTTTTCTCTATAAGGCTACCTAATCTTTTACTCTTCGCAAATGCTGCATATTCATTTTATTTCTAATCTCATTTTTGGCAATTTATAATGTTCGATTTAATTATTAGACAAACGTATCAATTTTTAAATCGAACGATTTATTTCAGAACGAAAAATATCTAATTAAAATAAAATTAATCCTATTTATGTCGGAAATGAAATGTCAAACTGATTTTAATTATTATCGTAATAGGTTTATTTTCAAAGAATAATTGTAGAATGACGAATCAGTTTGAAACAATTGATTTTTTTATTTATTTACGTATATCCTGTTATTTCGTGCTTGTTATGCGAACATTCCATAAGTATTTTATAAAGTATTCCGGTCTTTCTACCGAAGTATCCGAGGGCACGTCTAAAAGAGAGTAAAATATACAAGATTTTCTGCTTTACGTCGTGAAATTGCTCTTATGCGCTTCTCGACCAAGTACTCCAGACTTAAGTTTACCTGACAGTGCTCTTCTAAAGCTTAGGGTCTCAAAACGTAAATTTTAGAGAACTCTAGTGGTGGTACACTAAACTTGCAACAGTAAGATGGAATACTCCTTGACAAACGACGTCTTTATTTGTTATACAAGAAAAAGAATAATTAATATAATTACAAGAAGTATTGAATGAACATATAAAATGATTAATAAGTCATGTTTCATTGAAAAGAAAATAAATGTTTTACGCAATGTGTCACGTCACGGTTCACTGAAAATGCCAGCACAGCTGAA